TCACAGGCAGCCCAAACAAGGTTCCTGTGTATGGTTTATAAGGGAATGTATGGGAGTTATGATAAAGTTACGAAAATAAAATGTTTCACTCAACAATTTGCCTCAAAACTTGCTGCAGTTGTTGCTTTTACTTTGTTCTTAGAATATTTAATATACCGGATGTCGGAAGCAACCGGAAACAGGAAGTAGATTGCTTACGCATGGTACCTCGCTTATGAAAATTATGCAATTATGGATACTGATTTTAGATCAATTTTAGATCAGTTCAAGCCTTGAAAATGTAGGATTAAATAGTAAGGAATATTCGTATATATAAGAACTTGAAATTGGTTTGTTTTTGAGCAAAATTATCACTCTTAAAGAATTATCAAAGCGCAAGGTCAGTTAGACATAGTGAAATATATATATCTATTATAAAGTTTGATGATTAGCACTGGTGTATTCCAATAAATATAAAATTATAATAAAATAATATCTTATTGCGAACACGTCTTACTAGGAGGATTCTAATTTCTAAATAAAGACAATGTCATTAACGTTGTCCACCAAAAAAAGACATTTACACATTTAAACATTTAGACTAAAAGAAATATCACGTGTTTCCTCGAATGTCCTGGCATAAAACAAACGCTGAAATACCATTCTCCATCTTAAAACCTCTCTAAAAGGGTCGCGAAAGTACAACGACTTTAGACAACGAGAATTTCTACTGTCTTTTATAAGCCGGGGCATCATCGATCATCATCCATCATCGAAAGGAATGAAATCATGGTTATTGAAGCTATTTGTGAGTCTCGCATATGACAAGTATGGAATGTCTTACCTCTATAGCTACTGGGATAGCTGTAGCCAGATATGATAGCAAAGCAGGAAAGTAAATAAAATATCGATACACCGATTGCTGACCAACTTATTTTTGTCATTTTTAGGACAGCGACTCTAGTTTTGGTTCTGATCTTTAGGACGATAAAAGGATTAGACAGATTAAGATATCCTTGCTTCTGTACCTAAACCCCCGCAGAGTAACGGTTGTTTTTTACGCTTTATTGTTGATATTCATAACATACGGATTATCTTTTGTGTATCATATGGCGTGACAACCGTGACGTTATTAGTCACGCATCAGAAATGTCATTTTTCTGTGTTTCTAGTAATCAGGCCAATGAAGGAATCATAACAAATTTGGTGTTAAACTGTGACTTAAGATACAAAAACTGGAATGACGGAGGTTGGTAAGGTCGATCTTGCGTTATTATCTGAAATTATTATCTTCTTATCTGAGTTGTTTTCTGAAACAGTGTTTAGATAAAAAACACTACACTTTTGAATTTAGTTTTAAAAAACCTGTTGTGGCAGAACGACAGAACATGGCTTTAATGAAATTCAAATTTTGAGTGTAATTGCTAGACCAAATAGAGGCTTATATAGCTTCCAAGTTCTAACTTCCAGAGGACTGTTTGCTCGGTGAATCGAATGCCACCGCATTGGGTTACCACATGCATCATGCACGTTCAATTCGGCTACTTCCAGCACTAGGCTATCGCGTTTAAATAAATATTTACCTTGCGTCTTGAAGACCCATCGTTGAGGCGATCTCAATCTAACCGGGCCTCCTGTTATCTTTCGTGGCTCAGCTTTGTTATGAATTACGCAGAAACACAACGTCAGAACAACTAATGTAAAGGTCTTGGATTTCATTGTCGGCATTTGAATAGCGCTGCAGTGCAGTGCCAAAAATAACAATATTGCAGAAAAATTGCAAGACCTCTTGGAGCTAATGGAGTTTACTTCAATGTACGTGGATTTTGAGAGTTTCAATAGAGATGTTATGTATGATATGTATCACGTTCTTCTGGCTTATGGGTTATGGGGTTAAGATATCGTGTTTCAATCATCACTTGGTCAATGGGTTTATTCCGAAAAAGGGTCATCAATCAGTTTTTGGTCATCAATACATCGGAAGAAATATGCGTTATTTGATACTGGTTAAGTTAGAAGAAGAAGAAGAAGAAGAAGGAGAAGAAGAAGAAGAAGAAGGAGAAGAAGAAGAAGAAGAAGAAGAAGAAGAAGTAAAGTTTAGAAATAAGTAAAAGGCATTTGAAGATAAGTAAAAGGCATTAAGGGGGTTTTCATTATTGACCTGTAATAGAGGAGCATGCTGCGAGTGSAGATGGTATCACACTGATCAATATAATGAAGCAATGACGTATGGACATACTAGTAAATAAACTATAGTACAGCTGGATAAGATATGAGAAAAAAARAAGAAGAACAGAAAAAAGAAGAAGACGAATTAGAAAAGAAGTAGAAGGATATGAACAGCAGGCGACAATTGCTTTTTTCGTACATATTTCTTAGAACTTCTAAGGCAACAGAGTATGAAAGAATAGCTTTTACAGATTCCTAAATGTTTTCATAGCAAACGTTTACGGTATTATACATGCTCATCCATACTTTATTTGAACGCAGGTTCATTTTCGGGCAGCCAGAGTCTGATGTGGACGTGGTTACTTAAACGATTTTACACTTCAGAAGAAAATCTACGCATATTTACAGAATAGGCCCTTTTACCGTAGGCGAAATGCTTTCTCACTTCAGACCGCGTGTCAATCCCTAGAGTATAATTTCTCTGTTTAACGCTTGCACAAGCCAATGAGGCTGGCAACGTTGTTATTGAAGGCAGTGCGTTTCTCGTAGTTGTTCTCCTGTTGAACATTATTAGTTGTCTGTGACTGTGGTAGAACGGTTCGTCGAATTCTGCTGCCTACGATGAAATAGATGGCTGGAAGAACGCTGAAACTCAAGTGGCAAGTAGATATTGCCCAGAATCTCGAGCAATTAAAGATGGGATTTGGCTGATTAGAAACTAGAATTGATATTACCCCGTAAGGAATCCAGACGATGATGTTACATAGCGTTAAAGCAATGACATCCTTGGTAACTGATCTGTACTGCTGCTCGTACTGGACCAAACATGTTATTTACTTCTTAATCGTCTTGCTGCTTGCGATGAAGATCTATAGGTTACTGAGCAACAGGACGTTATCCCTACCGATACGATTGCCGTTCTCACGGATTGATATATGTTAGTATTACTCTCTTCCAAACGAGAGGAATAAACAATTGAACATTTGTTTGGCCGAGTAAGTGTCAATACCAGTACGATTGAGATCAGCCACACCAAACCAATGGCAAAAAAAGACCTTCACATCTAGAGTTCGTTGGTGAGCAAACTTGGTTAAAGCTTTGTGCCTGTCGATTCCTACTACTGAATCATCGTCCCTAGAGTGATGGAGTTAAACAAGTGTAACGAGGAGGATGAACTTTATAATACCGAAACAGAGAGTCAACACTCTTTATAAAATCCTCATAGTTTGCTACAACAACAGCATGTAACGGCAAACTAATCAACAAAGCAGCCACGTTTGACAAGGATCAATTGAGATTCAACACTTTATCAGGTGTCTTACTCTTCTTCCATTCCTCATAGTCAACATAGAGTAATAGAATATTATGAAATTATGATTTATGATTTATATAGCGCCCTTTAATCAGGATGCTTTGCGGCCAACCTGATTATTGGAATCAGAAATCAGGAATTGTACAAGAGTTATTTTAGATTCCTGTTTCAGAAATCAGAAAACTGACTTTTCGGCACTGACTAGGTAYATTGCATGGGCGAAAAAAAAAAGATTTGAACGAGAGAATGCAGGATTTTGGATTTCCGTTTTCCGAATCAGAAATAGCATTTCTGTTTTCTGAATCACGAATCAGAAATCACAATCTCGCTGATATACGACAAAACACCACGTGTAGGGGAGGGATGACCACTCGAAAATGCTCTTACTTCCGGTAACATTATCTGCGCTCTATTCCACCAATACCTCCCCCGCCCCCCCAACCCCAGGTCCAATAGCTGTCGCTGTTGTTGTGAACTTCCACAAAGACAAACTTTGAAACGTGATCCCCTGGGTAGTATATTACTGTCAAATTGTGCCAAACTGATAAATTCAAACTTAGCTAAAAAGATCTGTTATTTTGTAAATTATTACGAAAAAAATTAGCTTAATTGATGCCTCAATGTCCAAGACGAAATTAGAAAAATTCTCGATACTGGAGGATTCTTACGGGACGTGGAAAGATATTTAAAAGAGAGTTATCCTAACAAAAAGTATATCTTTTTCACGTGGTTGGTAATCACGTGACATATATTCCAATATATGTCTGGGGAGAATCACGGTTTAATGTTTGTCTTAGCGGAAGTTCAACGTTCAACGACAACAGCGACAACTATTGGACTTGGGGGTGGGGGTATTGGTGCCGTGATAGAGCGCAGATAATGTTACCGGAAGTAAGAGCATTTTCGAGTGGTCATCCCTCCCCTACACGTGGTGTTTTGTCGTATGTCAGTGAGATTGTGATTTCKGATTCGTGATTTTAGAAAACAGAAATGCGATTTCTGATTCGGAAAACGGAAATCCAAAATCCTGCATTCTCTACTTGGAACTTGTATTTTCGCCCATGCAATACACCTAGGCAGTGCCGAAAAGTCAGTTTTCTGATTTCTGAAACAGGAATCTAAAATAACTCTTGTACAATTCCTGATTTCTGATTCCAATAATCAGGTTGGCCGCAAAGCATCCTGATTCCTTTAATATGTGGATATAATCAAAAATATTACCAATCACTCCTACAACACAGATCACTGATATGTAAGCCACATGAACCGCTTTTCCTGGACAAGTTTGTGTAGGACTACACAAACCAGTCGATGAATTACAGCTGGAATCGTTTAAGAGGACGATTGAGGAAGAGTTAGTCGGGTTGTTTGTGAACATTTTGTACCTTTTAGCAAATTATTGGAGAGAGAATTCAGAAAACTGACTCGAGTAATGGTACCAATTGTCGTTGCCTCAGCTGTAGAGCGCAATGTTGTACTTAGGATGTTGCTTGTAAATACTCTGGTAATTTTGGTTCTGATTACTAGGCAACTGAAAACTTGGTCATGCAATATTTCGTGTTTGACAGAAAGACTGTCGAAAAAAGCGACCCTAATTATTGTTTATACGTTAATCCCGGCAACCGGATGTGGAAATATAAATTTTGTTTCTTGTATTCGTTTTTATAAATTTTCTGATTCGGGAAAATTGAAGATACAACGGCTTCCTGCATCTAAAAAAAATATCAGATAGTTGTTCTTGCTTGTGATTGGCTGGCCAACTAAATTTGCACGGTAATGAAGGACTTCTGCCCGGATCTTCTTATCGCTATTTTCTGAAAGGCTTACCAGCTCATTGTATATAGTTATAACAGATTATGCCCTTGTAGCGTACTCAGACATCCCAGCACGAACAATTTGTAAATAGTTTGAAATAATTTTGGAAACTAGGGCAGACATTTCCATGTTTTTACTGTGAAGCCTTCAGAAATTATGTACCGCTTCATATCGGTTTAATCAGATCTGCTTAATGCGGGACATTTTTTTGTAACTGCACACAATACTCTGGTAATTTTGGTTCCGATCAGGCAGCTGAAGATTTGGTCGTCAAGCAGTGTTTCGTGTTTCGCTGCGCTTGTGGTTCAACTTGAGTTTGGTTCATTTTTGACGTCATTTCATGTTCGATTACAGTACAGACCCATAGAAAACTGACTTCGATTTGTTAATGTGAAAATATTTTAGAAAAAATTCACTTAAAATATCCAGTAGATGCAAAGAGCGGCTCATAAGTATTAAAGGATTTCCTAGTTGATTCACATAATTCCCCCCCCCAGCACGTGACTGAACAAAAGGGGTTTGGAATAATTGTGGAATTTATCACAGCTACACTCTGTTGTCTTCAAACGATTGCTCCAAGTCGGGGCATTTGGGTCAATACAATGTGTAGAGAATAGACCCCTTGCAGCACGTCGGAATGCAGTTCAATTTGGAAGACATAACAATGGGTTTCTAATTCTCGGGAGATTAAAATTCTTGTTTTGTCCTCCAAATTTAACTGCTTTGACGTCACATGCAAGGAGTCTATTGGCCAATTGCAAATTAAATCACAAACATTGCTCTTTAAATGGTGTGCCTACTTTCAATGTTTTTTTAAAATTAAATTGGTGCGATTTCAAAAGTTTTAATCCTGACCAGAAAATCGAGTTAGAACTGAGTTTTGATTGATACAGCGTGACAACGAACATTCTGCAAATTTTGGTTCCGCCCAATCCCTGGTTTACACTTGCAATAACCCCTTTCGACAAATACCGTGTGTTTTATGACTTTAAGGCTAATTCGCACCGGCTTCGCTCAGGTTTCGTGCTAATAGGAGCTAACAAAAATCCAGGAATATAAATAACTAAAATAATAAAACAGGTTTCCCTTAGAACAAGCGCCTTCCTAAGTGTTGGCAGAGAAAACGCTTTTATTTTCAACTTCATTTGTCTAAGAGTTTACCCAATATAAATTTCGGCTCTTTCTTAGTGTTGCAGGGCACCTCAGCCATAAAGACAAGAAAACAATAGCCGAGAATAATGAGTCTGGAGCTAAACATTACCCTGCAATACAATAACCCTAACCCAGAATACGATATACTTATTTCAATAAAGTTAGTCACCAAAAACCTAGAAAGCTGTGATCGCTGAGAATCAGGGGAAATGCTTTATATCCAACAAGTGAAGCTTTTGACACAAACTGCAGCAGTTGAGGATACTCAGAGGAGGTTAACTTGTAACTGGTAGAAGTTCTCAAGTTTATCAACAGTGATCAAGCGGTTAAAACATGTAGAAATGTATCTACCCATAATCCTTGCTGGTCTCAGCTTTGTAGCTTTTCAGGTGACTAACTATATTGAAATAAGTTTATATCTTGCAACACCAAGAAAGACCCGAAATTTCAAGTCGTTTTCCAGGGCCACGGAAGAAAATTCAGAAGTTTTCCAAGAATTCCAGGAGCAGTTCGAAACTTGTTAGCCCAGCTTAAGCGCAAATCATTTGCGAGAGTCAACTGTAATATAAAGGATGTACAACTCGAGCAATACCAATGTTTTGAAATCCAACAGACTTTTAATTCTATCTGCGAATAGCTGACTTATAAACGAGGCTAAATCTGTGCAAATGAGTCTGTGGTCTTCAAAAACAGCGGTATGCAGTCGAATGCGAAACTGGTGTATATGCACCAAGCACAAAAAGCATGGATAATCATTTTATTTCTAGATTCTTCAGCTTGTGGTTGCACTGTAAATGTAAACCTGGACCCACAAATTCCTTCGTCGTGAAGTGGAAAAAGTAACCAGTGTAAAAATAACATTATGAAGGATAAATTAACCCTTACTGCATGAACCAATATAGTACTAATATCACCATAACATTATTACACTAATACAGGCTACATTGATTTTACATTGGCTCGTTAGAATCTTTAAAAAACGTTCTTATCCTGAACCAGAGCAAGCTCATTATAATAACATCGAAGTGGATTTTGAAAGTCTTTCTATGCTTGATGTTTTATTTTAACTTTCGTCCTTCTTTTTACCGTCGGTTGAATCGGTTGTTTCTGAGCTGGTGTCGGTGGAGTCGGTGGAGCCGGTGGATTCTCTCTCTGACGCCATCTGGGGAGGGAATATATTGAATAAGTAAAAGAACATAGTGGTTTAATGGAGGGAGGAGAACCGAATAATAATAATAATAATAATAATAATAATAATAAAATGGGTCAGAAATGGTTTATTTCACAGAACTGTGAGATTGTGAAACGTCTGTACAATTGTTAAATTTGTATACATCTTTGTAAAACCAGTCATGCAGATATTTGCTTAGACTATTCATGCCCGCAATATTCTGTATTCATAAACATAATAATAATAATAATGATGATGATGATGATGATAATAATAATATAAAAATAATAATAATCAAACTCAACTCTACTCGAATGTGATGCCGTGTCAAGGAAACTCCATCACCTTTGCTTTAGCTTGGATAAACAAGGGAAGGACACTAAGGTGTGATTTACAAATGGACATGAAAAGATACACTCACCTTTTTGTAAGCCATCTCGAATAGTTTAAGAGATTTCTGTTGTAGTTCACTGTAAGCCTGTCTGATGGTCTCTGCAGTCTCGTTGTCTTTGTTGGCCAAGACTTCACGTACCTTGGTGATTTCTTCCTTAAGTTTGTCAGTCTGAAGAGAAACCAAACAAATGAGTAACTCCTAGTGAATGCTCTGTTCTTATTTCGCTTTCAGGGATGCATGGGTGGCGTAGAGGTGAGAGCGCTCGCCTCTCATTAATGCAACCCGAATTCGAATTCCGCCGGAATAGGTATTATAAGTTGAGTAAAGTTGTTTGTTGGTTCTCTCCTGTGCTTCGAGGGTTTTCCGGGTTCTCCGGTTTTTCTCCCTCCAAAAAAATGAGCTCCAATATTCCAATTCGATCACGGAACGAGGGCCACAGGTTTGTTAGCCACTGGCTATTAAGTGCTACCCTCTTAGAAAAAGGATGTTTTAAAAAAACAACAAAAAAACAAATGTAAAGACCAAACAATTAAGGCGAATAAATGAACAAACCAACAAACGAACGAAGAAACGAACGAACAAAAGAAAAAATCAAAGAACAAACGAACCAACGAACGGAATAGCGATTGAACGAACGCATGAGCGAACAAACGAACCAACTAACGAACAAATAAACGAACGATCGAAAGAATAAACATAAGAACGAAAAAAACAACAAATGAACTAACAAACGAGGTCGCGAAATAAGACGAGTGCGCATTAAACGCGACATAAAGGAAAACAAACGGACAAAAAGTTAATTCACATAACAGAAAACAATCGAACAATGTCAGGTGACGCTGCTATCGAGAAATGACAAGTGATGTTTTTTCCCCCACATACCTCTTCTGATGGTAGTTGGTCTTTGAACTCTTCCATCTTGGTTTCTGTGTCGTGAATCATCGATTCTGCATGATTGACAGCCTCTGTGGTTTCCTAGACAACAAGCCATGAATATTAAGTGCAAATACAGTTTTGAAGACTGAAGACTTAATTAACTTTTGCTTGAGTTTCTATCGAACATGATGGCCATGTTTAAAGCAATAAATGAATGAATAAACTAAACAAAACAATAAAAAAACAAACAAACAACACTTTCTCGATGGAATTCTTGGTATATTTTTTCTATTTTCATGTTTGCTTCGCATCCAATATTGAAGCGGAAGCGTTATCAGAAGATTTAGCCAATCATAGGACCCATACCTAGTCTCTTCAGAGCAAAGATAGCGAGGATTGCGTTCCTGCTTTTTTCCAAATAAGGCAACAATAAATGTAGCGCAATACCTTCTTTTGTCTGTCACTCTCGGCATGTTTCTCGGCTTCTTTGATCATGTTTTCAATGGCATCCTTGCTCAGACCTCCAGATGACTGGATCACAACTGAAATTAATAAAAATAATAAACGTCATTTTCTGTTTTGTACGTGGAGAAATAAATGTTAGCAATGTTGGTTTTATGCATTCATTTATCAACCAACTAACTACCACCCCACCCACCCAACTTGAATAGCCCACTACCGAGATATGCTTCGCTTCAGTACGACGCTACGAGCAAAATTTAATTTCTTCTTTTACGAATCACTGAGAATTATGCATAAAGCCTCACATTGAAATCTTTGTGCGTGACAAGCGAAGCATATCTCAGTATAAGCTATTGACTAGTGCATTATGGACGCAAGTTGGTTGTTTTGAAAAAAAGATTTGGTCTTGGTTTCTTTTGTCACGTCAACCAACATGGCGACTACAGTCAACTCTCGTTACAGCGGACACCCTCGGGACCGTTACTTCATGTAACGGTGCATGTTACGTCATTGCCGCCATCTTGGTTGACGATAACAAAGCATTCCTCTTAATCTTCGCTTGTTAGATCAACCAACATGGCGGCTGTTTCAATGTTATTCATATCTCAAGGGATTTTGAGTCACATGGTTGCACACACTCTATAGCGAGCGTCCACAATAACAATAATTAATTACGGTCATCTCTTTGTAAGTATTTTTGTCTCTAATAGCGTGGTGTCCGTAATATCGGGGTGTCCGCAAGACGAGAGGTGACTGTTTATCTTTTGTCCTCATTATATCTAAGGTGATGGTATTCCAGTATCAGTCATTTATGAACTCAAAAAGGATTCCTTTACTCACTTTGTTGTTCTCTTCCAGTCCCCTTATCACGAGCAGACACATTCACTATACCATTGGCATCGATATCAAACGTTACTTCAATCTGGGGAACTCCTCTCGGTGCTGGGGGGATTCCAACCTAAACATTAAAGAGCATAAGAACTTCATTTTCACCTAAAGTATTCACAGTGTCCGAGATATGCTTCGCTTGTCACGCACAAAGGTTTTAGTGTGAGGCTACAGTACGTGCGAAATTAGATGTATTAATTTCTCCTTTCACGAATCACAGAGCATTGTGCATGAAGCCTTGCAATGAAACCTAGCTGTGCGTGACAAGCGAAGCACAATTCGGAGGTGGGCTATTGTACTTAGGTTCGGCACACGAGTAGAGTGCCGTATGAAATAGACCTTTTTTATTGATACAGCGGCCATCTTGAATTCTATTGTTTTAAATTAATACATTATGGGATGTCGACTGGACAACGATTGGAAAATTTATAAACTGCACAGCTGTCAGGGGGTCCTTTTATATTACTTTATGYTTTTCAATAAGAAGCACATCTGAAAAGCAAACGATAGTCCTTTTTCTCTTTCCGTAAATACCGCTGTGTTTTAAGACTGAAGACTCATCTCCGCATTTGCAAATGTCAACTTTAATGTAAAGAATGTACAGCTTGAACAAAACCAATGTTTTGAAATCCCACGGACGTTTATTCGTATCTGTGAATAGCTGACTTATAAACGAGGCTAAGCCTGTGCAAATGAGTCTGTAGTCTTCAAAAACAGCGGTATGCATTGAATGTGAAACTCGTGTATTTGCTGATAGTTGGAACAATATGTCAAACATCAAGACTTCAAATTATTTGAAAACGTTAACCCGCCACTTTATGCTTTATAAATTTTCTACATCTTTCCCCCTCGGCATGCCATAATTCAAGATGGCAGCCACTGGAGTAAAGAGGTTTATTGGCCTAACTTCTGCATTTCACCCCTAAATTGCTTGACCTCCATAATTTTAACCCGGTCTGCTGAAAAGATTCTAAAAGCTTTTTTACCAGTTGAAACTGTCCAAGTAGCTTGTTGTCAGCAGCCATCTCTCTCTCGCCTTGGTGGACTTTGATCTCCACCTGAGTCTGGCCATCAGCGGCAGTGGAGAACACCTAAGAGATCATATGAACAAATAGTCAGTACTTGCTTTGCCTGTAGTTTAGTTTAGTCGATATGTGGACGTAACATTTTGTAATGTTAATTTGCCAACCAAAAAATAGCTTTTGTCATGTTTAACCAAGGTTCGGGGGGATATCTATTATTCAAGGCAACATGGCTGCTATGCAAGTAAGGCCCCCATCAGGAGAACCTACATAGCACTCAGTTGATGTAATGTGTTTAGAGAATTCATTGTATTCTATTGCTGTTCTAACTATTGTATTTGGTGTGATTCATTGTACTTTTACGAACACACATTACATCAACTGCTAGCAAATGTAGGCTCTTCCAAGGTGCCCACTGGATACAGAATCGTCCTTAACTACATTCAACTTTAACATGTTTCTTTGGGTCAAATTCCAGGTAGGCTAATTTAGAGTCTTGAACGCACTTCAATCTCAAAAATGTAAGAACAAAAGAAGTCTGGGCACGACCAACTCACAGTTTGAATTGGAACTTGCAGATGCTATCAATGTGAAAGAAGCGAATAAGGTATCCTACCTGGCTCTTCTTTGTTGGGATGGTAGTATTTCTTGCAATCAGTTTAGTGAACACGCCGCCAAGGGTTTCAATACCAAGTGACAGGGGGGTCACATCAAGCAACAGCACATCTTTCACATCACCAGCAAGAACGCCCCCCTGTATAGCAGCTCCTAGAGCTACAGCTTCATCTGGGTTGACAGCTTTGCTTGGCTGTCTTCCAAAAATCTCTTGAACTGTTGATTGAACCTTAAGTGAAAAATATTTCAATTGTTTACTATTTTTTGATACTTATTGAATACATTACTTTTGTTACTTTATATGAATTCACACTAATTCAATAAATATTTWAAAAAATGATGAAAGTATGTCATGTAAATGTGCAGCAACTTTTATCGCATTTGTTTTTCTAGTTAAATGTTTGTCCAAATCTCTAGCTCTTAATCCATAACTCTTTATACTTGTTTATTACTTACAGGGTTCGTGCTGAGGTAACCACTTAAAATTCAAGGACTATTCAAGGAGTATACAAGGACTCAAAAATGAATTTTCAAGGAGTATGTTCAGCAAGGTTTTACAAGGTGGTTGCACATGGCCGACTTTCAGATTTTCCCTTTTCTTTCTGACTAGATCTATTTCAGAACCATGCAAGTAATGATCAAAGCAAAAATCCAAGGAGTTTTCAAGGAGTTTCCCTAAAATCGTAAAATTCAAGTGCTTTTCAAGTGCCCTTGAAAAAGTGAATTATATTCAAGGAGTTTGAGGAGTTTAAGGAGTAGCACAAACCCTGTACTTAGCTGTGTCACTACGCACACTCTGACTGTTTGAAAACTGTGCTGTATCAGTGAATGAAGCATGTTGCTGGTGCCATCGACGCACATGCAGCCTTTTTTACTAAGAAGTGAAAGAAAAGAGCAGCAAGAACTGCAATTTTTTTTCTTACTAAACAATAAAGTATAACTTGTACTTGTCTTCACACTTCTTATGTGCTTTCAGAATTTCCCGAGCATTGTAAGTTTCTAAAGGGAGTACAAATAATGATGCTTTATTTCTTAAGTAAGGCTGACCTGCCTCCATGAATGTGAGATCTGCTTTGTTACAACTATTAAGTATATTTAGGCACTGCCTAAAAGCGGAGCTCCCGATACGCAAGTCACAGGGAGCCCAATTTGAATGAATGTGGAAGATAAGATTAAAATCGGAAAAAAATTTTCGATTTTTTTATTCAATATTAAGATAAT